AGGTACAAATATCAAAATTCATTTGGACGTTTCGAAAGAAGTTATAAAACTGGAGTGCAGAAGCGCTTCCGAGCCCAGCCCGTGAGACCTGAACACTTCCTGATGAATGTCTCGTAAGTACAGGCCAGAGCCAGGAGCTGCCACGCGCACTCGACGCCGGGGCCGCCTGGCGTTCGGGGGCGCCTCGCCTACGGCCGCCACATAAGGGCCATGAGCGGAACGGCCCAAAGGCTGAGGGGCGTCGCCGCGCGGGGCGCTCCGGACGCACCTGTAATTCAAGATCATCGTTACTGCTGATGCTCTAACATTACTATTCATTGCAGTTTATCGCCTTCATCGCCTGTACTATATTATAATCTTTACAGATATTGTCATTCTTTACATAACCACGAACGGTTTTGATATTATCAATGATCAATGTTAGCCTTACCATCGAAATGTACTACTTCTAGCGTTGCTGATAACATTGCCATCATAATTTTCACTTCGTCATAAATATTGCCTTCAATTATATAATCATGTTACTCTTGTTTCTTGTACATTTCTCTTACTACTATTCTCACTCATGTTCTTATTGTTATCATTTATTGTTAGCATTCGCTGTTAGCATCCTCTCTGTTATCAATAATATAAAAAGCATCATAAATTTGCACTGACTATCATTTCCATTACTTTTATCCTCACTACTATTCCTGTTATAAGGCCTGATAAGTCGGTCTGACTGCCTAGTCCTAATCGGCCTACACAAAGGGCGCTTGTTGGCCTTTCTCGGCCTCGTGGGGTCACCCCCCCCCCTCTGCTCTCCCACCTGGCGTCTGCTTCCAAGAGTCGCCCCAGCCGACGCCGTCGCCGTCCCTGGCGTTGTCCTCCTCCAGCCACTCCTTCAGCGGGCGGAAGTAGTCGAGCAGCGGCCGCGCCGTCATCCTCCTCTCGCCAGTCATCACCTGCAGCACGTCCTGCCACGGCTGCGACGATCCCAGGGACAGCATCCTCCTGCGGCCGGAACCCCGGAGGCAGATGGAGAAGCAAAGGAAGGCGAATATTAAACGAGAGACTTTACCGGAGGCAGGGCACTGAGATCTGTTCTGAGAATCCCCGAATGCTATCCCGGAAGACTAAAAATAACCCGCAAAAAAGGTCGCTCACGCAACTTACATATTTGCATGTTCTATATATAGTTATACATATAACTCTGTCTAAAGGCGCTGGCGGCTAATGCCCTTATTCGCCCCGGCGGGGCAGACGCTTGTCCTCACGGGCGTCTTCCATGGTGGCGGCGCACCAGCCGCTTCCGGTGCCCGGGGCCAGCCATCGGGCGCGCTGGGAGGCCAGCTTCATCTGTCCCGCGGGTCATCCTCGAGGACGCCGCCGGGCAGATCTAGGCGCTACAGAATGCGACGGGAGTTCTAAGATGCGACAGTCTGGTCGCTGGCGGCGTTGGGCAAGAGTCTCGTAACGACCCCTCTACTCGTTCTTGGCTGACGAAGCCAACGGCCAGACGATGACCGATTTCTCATCTTAGAAGTCCCGTCGCATCTGCAGCGCCTGAATCTGGCCGGCGGCGTCCTCGAGGAAGACCCGCGACGAGGACCAGCGCCCGGCCTCCGCTCGTGCGGCCGAAGGACATCACCGCCGCTGAAAGGCCCTGGCAGATCTAACCCATGAGATCTAACCCACGAGCGACCACTAACCAGTAATATCTATTTTTCACATTTTATATGAGGTATCATGCAGCTAAAAAGATATATAATTATGAAGTGTTTCGATAAAAAATATATATATATTCAAGTAGTGATCATCCTATAACACAATCCCTTCATTAATCATATGTACTGTTCATACAAATGTACATGTATAACTACAAGCACGCATGCGTACATACATAACAGTATAAAAATACTGCATTTATATGATCAATACATGCGTGATACATGTATATAAATATGATTACCTATCTATCAGTCTTTACTGACACACATATGTACGTATCTATCTATATCTCGATCTATCTGGGATGACCTAGCAGCCACCAGCCAGCCAGAGACTCACGCGAGCAGGTCCCCGGCCTCCTTCGACCCGTAGAAGTCGCAGGTGTGGAGCGGCCCCTGGTGGTTCGCCGCCCTGCACAGCGTCTCGAAGAACTGAAAGCAACAGCAGCCGTGAGCGCCGTCCAACAACCACGAATACAAAAGGATCTCACTGACTCTTTCACAAAGTCCTGCAGCAAAGCAGGGAGATCAGACGCACCTGGAACTGCAGCACAGTGCGGGTGAAGTACCGGATCATGTCGTACCCGGTGGCGATGTGGAAGATGGAGACCGGGTCCAGGTCGTCCTTGGCCCGGGGCACCGGCGCAACCACGCCCAGGTACTGCTCTCTGTGGGGGGAGGGGGAGGCCATCACACGCGTTGCCCTCGAAAGAAAGCGAGAGAGAAGCGGAAGGACAGAGCCAACTTTTCCTTACTTGCCACTTCATCACTGATTTCACTTCCATAACATGTAATTTAGAATTATATCATTCAATATTTTCTACCACATTTTGATGTAAAATTATAGCTAAAGGTACAATCATTCATCAAGTGTCTCCCCTCCACCGCCCTATGGGGGAGCATTTCCATTTATGTGAGCTTTAGTTTTGCATGGAGTCTGTTGGTGTAAGGTTGAAGCTCAATTCAATGGAGTCTTGGCTAGAATTAAGGAATTTGATGCACAGGCAGTGACATGTTTTAGGATCTACAGGAGTTAAGATATGATTCCTAATTTACGTTAGACTTGCAATAAACATAGTATTAGATAATCACCATACAGCTGTATCTCCTTCTTTCTGACTCTTATTATCACTGTAAGGAGTTGCTTAACACCCCCAGCACTTCCCACGAATCGGTCCCCAGTACTTGCCAACATACTTAAGCTTCCAGAACTCTTCGTTCGCCTCCTCCGTGTCATACTCGCCCCTGAAGAGCCTCCACCGCCAGAGGTCGTTGACGAGGTGGAAGGGCAGCGTGGTGACGCTCTTCAGCGCCGTCCGCATCAGGAAATTGATGCCCAGCTCTGTCGGCGAGTTGTATAATGCTGAGTGCTTCGGGTCGAGAGCAGTTGGTGATGCATTACCATTCAATTGACATATTGAGGCAAGATTTCCTGTAGTCAACTTATTATCAAGGATCGAGTTTGAGCTCTAGACCTTCAGGAATTCAGTAACATAAATTATTAATTCGTTATGCACATTAGCTGACGAAATCTTCCCCGAACGGCATGAAGAGCGCGCCCTTACCCTCGCTCTCGGGAACCTCCTGCAGCAGGCCGATCTCCGCGAGATGCTTTGGCGTCGACATGGACATGGACATCAGTTCCCCGATGGCCTCGTGGAAGCCGTCGTTGGCGCCGTCTCTGTCCAAAGGCAGACTGTCAGGCTGGGCGGCGAGAGCTCGACCCACGCCCATGCAAGAGGGGCGGGCCTCAGCCCTCGCCGTAATTTCATTTAATTTCTTCCCAGTGATAGAAATATAATTGTAAATGCATATATAATGCTTCTGCTCGATTTTCAATAACTTGAGACTTATTTACTTTTCAAAAATGATTCATTATATAAAGGAACTTGGTAAAATGACTATCAGTAATTTCCTTCCACATTTACTTCAATATCCGTTTTTCTATTAATGCACTATTTTATCATCCATTTATTCCATATTTACCAAAGTAATATTGCTGCTTTTCATTGTCAGGCAAGGTTTGCAGACGGAAAACACACATAGACATCCATTAGTGGAGAGTGAAAGGGCCATATTTTGTCTTGTAGCCGTAAAAGCATTCTGGTCTTATAAAGGTATCAAGTGCTTGAACAAAAATATTTTACTTTCATAAAAAAACTATGAAAATCTATTTTAAAAATAAAAACCAAGAAAGCATAAATCTATTTTACGGCAGTTTTTTTAAGAAATGTCATGGTAATTTTGGCCGTGTATCCTCACAGATGAAATAAGGTCTTGCAACGGATCGCAACACCGGGGACTCACCTGTAGGTCAGAGGCAAGTGAGCGTACTGCATGAAGTACTGGACGTGACCGAGCTCGTGATGGATCGTCTCAAGGTTCTCGAAGTTGACCTCTGAACACATTCTGATCCTGTGAAAGGACCAGCTCGTAAATGTTACCAAGATTAAAACATTTTCTGTTCTCTGGAATTTTCATCCCACTGTCTCCCACCGACCTGAAGTCCTTAGAATCGTAGAAATCCCAGGCGGTGGCGTGGCACTGGACGCTGCGACCCTCGGGGCGCTCCAGCATGGACAGGTTCCAGAAGGTCGCCGGCAGCGGCTGCGGGAAAGCGAAGAAACAGTTTTTCCTACGATTTCACATTTCTTTGTGAGCTACTGAATTTGGGTACATGCACACGTAGATGATAATGTGTGCATGTACCCAATGTTAGAGATTTCAAAATAAATGCTATAGTTTCATGCAGGAAACACCTGGTACACTCATGGCGGGTCTATTCTGACTACCAGGCAGCTCTCCGTCCGAGGTGGTGGGGATAAGCAAGATCAGGAGGCGGTAGTTGGGGCTGAGCTGAGGCAGAGAACACAGGCGGTGCAAAATAATGCTCTAACGTATTTGTAGAAGTGACATTGGATAATATCATTTGATATAATTTTCCCTCAAGTGATATTCAAACACTCTTATTTACTCTTGAAAGAAGGTAAAGGGTCCCTATTTACAGTTGATATCAATTACTGGTCTTACCTTTTGTAAATATAAGGATTAAGTGCGTATGTATCTTGTCTGCATACAAATCACGCGCCCAGTAATGGTTATCACTATGCTATCCCGAACAGTAATATGCTGGATGGGCAATGGACTTGTTGCCATTAATCTGCTAATCCTTACGATCGCCCCCCCCCCTACTAATGCTTCCTCTATTCCTCACCATGCCATATTAGGCAAATATCAGTTTCCTGTAGATGGTAATGTTGATATGGCAACTACCATCCCTCTCCTGCCCCA